AAAAAAAACAAACAAAAAATCCACAAAAGTTGATTGTTTTTGTTTGTTTGTTTTTTTTACATTTGGTTTTGCTGCAAAACAAACACAAGCCGTCATCCATCATCACAGGAGGGCAAATGATCATCAGGCATGTTACACTAAAAGACAAGCAGGAAGTCCTCACCTTGTTGATGTCCTCGGGACTCTGCACGGTGATCTCGGTCAGTCCGGGGACGTAGAGTTGGCCGCTGCCGTCGGGATTCATCTTTATGTCGAGCTTGTCAGACGGATTCTCCCCGAGCAGGTCCCTGAAGGCAACAGAGGCGTTTGAGTGCCTGCAGGTTTCGACTCAGGGCTTGAGTGCAACAACGAAGGCTGATTAAAACAGAACTCAGGGGTCTGAAGAGATCCGTAATTTGAAGCATGAAGCAAACCTTTAACCTTTAACCTTTCTGCAGCTCGTGAACCCTTTCTCCCATTTCTGCGTTTTTCTGTTTTGTGTTGTTCAGTCTGATAATCTGAGTTTAATCTGACCTTCAGAGCTCTGAATGTTTCTGCCAGATGTTGAGCTCTGACTCTTTGCGCAGATGTTTTGTTACACAACAACTGGACAGATGAAGTGATCCAGCTTTACATAACTGCTCTGCAGCTGCTCCCATACGAGGTGGCGGGAGTAAAAACCTGCGATAACAGACCTCCACGCTTCAAACCCTGAAACACATCCTCATGTTTCCTCCTCGCTGTAAACAAACACTGTAGTTTACATGTAAATGAAGCCATCATCAGTCTACGGGGTCAGAGGCCCTCAGAGCTCTTTCCTCACCGCAGCGTCTCGTTGTAGATTTCCACCATGCTGACGGTCATCTTATAGTCCCAGTCTGGAGCTTTTTCCGATACCTCGGAGAACAGCAGCCGCAGAGCACGCTGGTTAATGCCGGGGTTATCAGCGACACCCTGAAGGTCCACAGGCAGAGGAGGCGGAGTTTACAGGTGTATTCAGCGACATCTCGATTAAATTTTACTTAAATTTGAATTTGTGTCTCGTTATTGGAGCAAAAACTGAGCTTTCCTGAGCGGATACATGTAAAAAGCCCCGTCCTACCTCCATGGTGTAGGTTTTCCCGGACCCGGTCTGCCCGTAGGCGAAGATGCAGACGTTATAGCCGTCAACACAGGAAGTGATCAGAGCCTGAACCTCCTGAAACACCTGATGAGCCAATCAGAGAGAGAATCAGCAGATGAGACGCACACCTTTATTCACGATGACCGATGGGGTATCTGCTCACAAGTCGAGCCTCTGACCTGGAGGTCGTTTCAGGCTTCATTATTCTGAAGTTCAACAATCTAAACGTTCCGAGGACGCTCACCTCTTCCTGCGTGGCGTGAGGGGGGAAGACTTTATCCAGCTCAAAGGTCATGACCTTGCCCTTGTTAGAGAGGTAGAGGATGGCGTCGTCGTCCGAGTCGAAGCTCAGCATGGTTTTGGCATCGGCGGAGTCCTGCTCCTCCTGACTGACCGGCCGGACGCGACAGAACACACGGATGTTACCTTGGAGACCAAACACAGCAGCGCGGTGAACATTT